CTCATGCACACTCGCAGCGCACACACATACTGGCAGGTTCACATTGCTCCGTTTGCAGTGCATACGTGGTGCATATTTTTTCCGCGCTCGTGTTAACGGATTAATAAAGCGTTCACACTGCACACGGTTGCGGTCCGGCAGTATTGTGTTTAAACATGTCTGTGAAAGATTGTATGTAAAAAAAAGAATTGCAGTGCTGAAAAAGCATTTTCAGTGAAAATGTTTGGATTTGAAATCAAACTAATGGATAAATGTTGTGTTTGTGGTAAACAGCCACGGACCAGTAGTGGACTCCTGTGTGAAAGCTGCTTCCCCTTTCACAAGAGTCACCTAAGAGCGGAATTCCCCCCATTTTCAAAAATGAATTCAGGCCCTGAATAAATGTCTAAAAATCCTGATTGGAGTATCACTATAAATAGTTATAAATGATAAAAAGAAGGCTTTAAAGGATCGGTATCGGCAGATACTGCTTTCTGTGATCGGCCTCAAAATGCTCTTTAAAACATTTTCCTCCCTCCTTTGTCCTCCTCCTCCTTGACTGCTTTTATTTTCCTCATTTGTAAGTCGCTTTGGATAAAAGCGTCTGCTAAATGACTAAATGTAAATGACACAGAGTATGCGTGCACTCTCTGGGTGTGTTTTTGTTTTGTTTTTGTGATATACTCGATAATGTTAGATTGCACACGTGTATTTCTTAAATGTACCCAGGGTAAAGAATAAAATCAAATTAAAATAAAGAAAGTAATAGGACTAACCTGTTGAAGAACAGTAACAGCAGATGCCCATCCAGGAAATGTGAACAAGAGTTTGCTGGAGTAAGAAAAGCAGAATTCGGTTTCAATTTTTGATTATCAAACAACATTTGCTGTACTACATTATATGTACTGCTACATAATTAACATAAAGGTTCAATCTCAAAAATTCTGTTAAGAAATTCTAATAAATATATTTTTTTAAATTGTGAAATAAATGTTATTTGAATATAATTTAAATATTTTAACATTTTAATAATGTAATATAAAATGTAATTTATTTCTGTGATGGCAAAGCTGAATTTTTGAAAAGTAATATCTGAAACAGAAATCTTTTGTAACATTAGAAATGTCTTTACTGTCACTTTTGACAATTGTATTATAACCCATACAAATAATCAAAAAAGAATCTTCATTCTTTCAAAAGTCACTTTAAATGCCACAAAGACCATCAAGTACACTCAGCTTTCATTAGAAGTGCATACTTTGATTTGATGTTCCATAACTGAAGACTCCCTTGACTGCTTCCAAACAGGATTTTGTTCAGGTAGGTGCTCGGATGCATCAAAGCAGAGACTTCAAATGATGCTTTGTCATATGAAATCTGCAGATATGTGTCTGCAATGTGAGAAAGACAAAATATATTACATACACTGTGAAGATATCCTTGTTTCTTCTGCAAGAAATAAATATAAGCCTAGCAAAAATAATAACAAACCAACCCTCAGACTCCACATCCCAAATAATGACAACATTGTCCTTGTCAACAGAAATCAGATGATCTCCGAAAGGCAAAAGTAAGTGCACATCAGCTTGATGGCCTGTGTATGTGTGAACAACCTGGATGGAAGAGACAAAAAGACATATTATTACTTCTAACTCATTTTTATTTAATCTAAGTCTCTTTAGTGTTATGCATCTTTTAGAACACAGTATGTGTCTAACTGTAACACATTATGCTTTACCTCTTTGTTTTTTGCAAAAGCACAGATAAGTTTTCCATATGCAGCATAGACAAGCATACGATCTGCCGCCAGGGATGAAATGTCTTCTGGGAGGGCATTACCTATACGGGTGGTTATTACAACTGTTTTAACCAAATGCATATGGGAACTATAACTGTTTGATCATGGATTCGCAGAAAATCCACTGTACTGTAAAATAAATGTACTGAATCGTACTTACTGACTGCAACGATTCCAAGTTTCTTCACCTGCCAGAAAAAAAGATGGGTTAATTTTATACTTCACTGAAAGAATTAACATAAACTAATAAAACCCAATGTTTTATTACTTATAATTATTAATCAAGTTATTATATTAGTATTAAACCTACTAAGCATGTAATCTAACTTTAACACCTCCATATTTAGTTAATTACTGTATTTAAAGTATGGGTTACACTTTTTTTCAATTTATTTTCAGGGGTCCTGTTACAGTTTAATTACATAGTAATATTAATTAACAATTTGTTGAGTTGAGTTTGGTTTAGTTGATTGTAATTACACAATTTACAGTTACTATAGTTTAATTTACTACAGTGAGTAATTATAATGCATAAAAATGTGTAGTAAAAAAATGTTACCAAAGTATGCATGAAATTAATCTGTCACTTTGAAAACATACATATCTAAACCAGTTTAATCAGTGTCAAAACTACTAGTACTGTACTACCAAAAAGTACTATGGTATGGTACACGGAGTACCTATGTGGCTACTTTTTTTGGATGTGGTATCATGGTACAACCCCTGGCAAAAATTATGGAATCACCACACTTAGAAGATGCTCACACAAATGTTTTAATTCATAAATAAACAAATCACAGATATGACACAAAACCATTTTTGTTTAATAATTCACCATTCTGGTTATGTGAAACATACCTCAAACAAATGAGATTAAATAAAAAAAAAACTGTTTTCCATATCAACTAGAGGAAAAAAATATGGAATCGTCAACCAAAAAGCACAATTAATTTGTTGCTCCTCCTCTGGCTTTTATGATGGCCTGAATTCTTTGGGGCGTGGACTTCACTAATGAAAAACAATATTCTTCATCAAGCTGGTTCCAACTTTCTCGAATAGCGGTTGACAGATCAGCTTTGCAAGATGAAGCCTGGTCATGGACCAGTTTTTTTTCAATTTCCACCATGAATTTTCAATTGGATCAAGATCCGGCCATGTCATTGAGTTGATATGCCTTTCCTGAAGAAAAGCTTTAACACTCTTTGCTCTGTGGCAAGATGCATTATCATCCTGAAAAATGACATCGTCACCAAACTTCTTTTCTATCGATGGAATGAGAAAAGTGTCCAAAATTTCAGTGTACACCTGTGCACTGACTGTTAAGGTAGGACTGCCATTTCCCCTGGTCCTTTACCTGACACGCTGCAACCCCATTTCATAAAGAAGTTGGGAAATTTCATTGTTTTCTTCAGGCAGTCATATTTATACGTTTCATTAGAACAGCACCAGACAAAAGTCCCAGCATCATCTCCTTGTCCAAGGCAGATTCATGATTCATCACTGACTGAATATCACTTTCATCCAATCATTCACACTCAACGACGGCTTCTCTTTAGCCTCTTGTAACCTTGTTGTCTTCTGTTTAGGTGTTAATGCTGGTTTTCCTTTGGCTTTTCTATAGGGATGCACGATATATCGGCCACCATATCGGTATCGGCCGATAAATGCTCATTTTTTCTGTTATCGGTATTGGCCCGACAAGAAAATTTGGCCGATATCTTAAAGCCGATAAATAATGCATTATTTCCTTCAGAGACACTTCAGATGCGCGCGGTTCGTTTGCAGCCTTTTGTGCAATTGTACGTTGTATTATTGTGTTTATTTGATATATATCTGATTTATCTAATATAGAATGCGTTTGGTTAAGTTAAAAGAGCGCTTCAGTTTACCGGTGATCATCTTTAGCTCAGCGCACGCAGCTGTAAATCCCATTTCATTCAGCCGATTTCAAACAGTTCTGTCACACACTGCCCATTTGTTTCGTTGTGCATTTTCTATTTTCAAGGCAAATTGCTTTGAGTTTTCTATCCTGATGCTTTGATGTCTTCCTTGGTCTGCCTGTATGTTTTCCTTTTACAACCTTTCCATTTTGTTTATACTTGCACCAAATTTTAGAAACAGCTGACTGAGAACATCCAACTTCTTTTGCCACACTCCATGTTGGATTTCCGTCTTGAAGGAGTTTTATAATCTTTTCCATCGTTTCAACTGACAGCTCTCTTGTTGGGGCCATGTTTCCTTTCTATTAGCCAAGTCCAACAGCTGTAAGCACTCTCTTTTAACTGCTGACTAATTAGCATTTTGGATTTGTGCCGTTATTTGTTCCAGAAATGCAAATTACGAAGTGATTCCATAATTTTTTTCCTCAAAAAAATTGAATGATTCCATATTCCCCCCAAATTATGAGCCGATTCCATAATTTTTTCCTCAAATTGAATGATTCCATAATTTTTTTTCCTCTACTTGATATGGGAAATAATTTTCCATTAATTAAAATATTTTAATTTCATTAGTTTGAGGTTTCACATAACCAGAGTGTTGAATTATTAAACAAAAATAGTTTGTGTCATATCTACGACTCGTTTATTTGTTATGAAGTAAAAAAAAAAAAAATTGGGTGAACATCTAAGTGTGGTGATTCCTTTTGCCAGGGGTTGTACCGTCGCATTTTGAACATTTAAAATTGTGGTATTCTTGGACATATGATACAGAAGTCTATATACCATCACTGTACCATGGTACCGTCACAGTACTTTTTAAATAGTGGCACATTGATATATACACAGAAATTCATGTAATATACACCGTATTCCACAGTACGTTCAAGAATACACTTGCACAGGTCAAAAAAAAAAAACACATGGTACGCCACTACTTTCTGGTAAGTTATGTACCAAGGTTTTCAAACGGTTCTCTAAAGTACTTCGCCGTTCATTTATTCTGCACTTACATTATAGGTGTGGAAACACTGTCCGACTGCAGTGAGCACATAGAACTCTCTGTGTTTCTTATGGAAGCGAAGCACGTGCGCCAGATGATTAGAGTAAAGTCCCAGCGCCCTGAATCCAGAGAAGATCACGCTTCCTTTCTTTCCCGCAGACATGTCGCTCATGTACTTTCACCCGTAGAATCTTAAACTTCACTGACCGTACACACAATCCTGATAAATCTTTAATACCGTTTCCTCCACATTTCTGTGTCAGCAGCCGCTGTTGTCAAACAGTGTTGCACTAAACACGGTTCGTGTGGAAAGAAACACTCGACAGTAGGTTCCTACACAACTTCCTTTGCTTCATTGAAAAAAGGCGTTATTGAATGAATTTAAACGCATAATCTTTTATTTTCAAACTTTTATAACATACTATATAGCTAGACTACACATAGAGAGAGTCTGTTAACATAAAATGAAAAAATATGAAAAAATAAACACAGTGACACAGTGCATTGACCCTAAGACAAAATATTTTAAATATTTAATTGTTTAACACACATTTGAAAACAATACATTCATGCTGTGCATAGTGTACAATCATCCATCCATTAATTCATCCATCCATTTTCCAAACTGCTTGTCAGATACAGGGTATTCTACAGTACATAGCCAACAATCAGCTTAGACTTTTTTTTTTTAGGTTAGAGTAACAGCTTTCAACATATGTGTGAGTGGCTTTGCTTATAAATTCCTTGAAATAAATCCACACCAGCATTTCAGGAAGGTGTCCTTAGTGCAGTTCCTAGGGGATTGCAGGGGTGGTTTATAGGCACACTTCATCTAAAAAAGAAAATTGCATGCATGTAATTTCTTGATAATTACAATTCTACATTGTAATAACAGCATTGTTAAAAATGCTTTTGGGTCCCACTTTATATTAAGTGGCCTTAACTACTATGTACTTACATTTAAATTGATCATTTGGTACAATGCACTTATTGTGTACATACATGTTTTTACATTGTACTTATATTTGAAAAATATCTGC